TGAGAAGTGCAGAAAGTGGTGCAATAAGATCTTTCATTGTGTATACACAAAAATACATATAAAATGATTTTTTTAAAATTGACTAGGTTTTATGAAGAACTTGTCCTACATGCATGTACACAGCACAAAGAAATGTATATATAAATATATATAAATATATAAATATATATAAATATAAAAGATTCGTACTTTCTTTTCTCTGCATCCAAATAGCAAAAATATATGCAAAGTATAAATTTAAGCCCATGTAATGAAAGCATTTTATTACAATTTTCTTGATTGAAAAGTCCTTATTTGTGGCATTATTCACAGAACTGCAGTCATCTGACCAAGACATTTGTAATCCAAGAAGAAAATAAAGTAAATGTAGTATGATTAGCGAAGCTAAGATTAATTTGACAAGAACACTAAAAGAAAACACTTTATCTAATTTATATTTCATTCAAAGTGAAAGAAATACATTTACAGCAATAAAAAGGTGTTGTAAAATCTTTAATATACTATGGATTTAAATGGTGAAAGAACATTTTAACTGTATCTAAGTGTTAAGTAAAAATATCCACCCAAACAATACAATGACGTAGTAATTATTAAAACATTCATTATTTGAAGTAGTTGGAATATAGCAGCTTTTATTTTGTGCTAAAAATAATTTCCTTTCCTTGGCATTCTTTTTTCCTTTATAAAATCTTAGAACTGAAATAAACTAGAAATTGTCCAAATTAAGAATAATCATATGTAAGAATATCTTTAGTTAATTCTCTAAATCAGATGTAAAATGCAGTTGAATTCTAAATAAGCTTCCTTATGGCAAAGACAAAATACAGTACTGTTTTTATTTTCTTAGGTATTTTTCCATTACTTGTATCTTTAAAAGAAGGAAAATACTACATAGAGTAACAGTAGAAGTTTCTTCAATTATTTTTAAAATATTTTGCTTTTATTCTTCCTTTTTTTTTTGCTAGTGAAATTGGCCTCAGGACCAATTTTGCAAAAAGATTTGGTGAAAGAATGGGGAACACTAATAACACAAAAATGTATTTAAATACAAGAGAACATAAGTACGAATCAGGCTGTTCTGCACACTGATGCAAACTCCGTAAGTTGTTCTATAAGAGATTAGAAAAAAATCTTCCCAAACTTAACCCTCAGAGCAGATGAATATTTATACCAAGCTGAGTCAATAATACTATTGTTACAGTTCATTCTACTACTAGTGAAAAGCTGACTTAAACAACAAATAAATTTAATGTCTGTTTTCTTTTTGTCTAAACTGTCTTTTTGATAATTTAGAGAGAATGCCGTGCAATTTTACCAATTTATATATTTTATCAGTTTATATGAAAATCCAAGACTACTTCTACATACAAACGTTCAGCTTTCTCTATATGGCTACCTGAAATTACAAGATTTTTTTTTACTGAAGAAGAACTTGAGACTCTCTCAAAGCCTGAAACTGACTGTGAAATCACAAATCCTGAGTTAATTTTGGCATTCCTACAACATTTCCTTGTTTTCAAGACCAAATGAAACAGTAGTTGAAGACAGCATCACGTGAGTGTGCCTCTTCGCAAACCATGAGATGGATCATGATTTACAGCAGAAAAGCATTACAGGAAATAGAAAATGTAACTATTTACAACAGATAGCTTATTGATCCTTGCTCTCAATACTTTTGTATAATTCTTAGAACAACCTGAATGATGATGAGGAGGAGAAAAATGAGATGGAGTTTGAAGACAAAACATTATTCAATCTGGTATATAACTTTTTTATATATTATTATTACTACTATTATTGTTATTATTATTATTATTACTATTATTAAATCCATTGAACACAGGTCATTAAAAATATTTTCTGGAGTTTAGGCTGAGATTATGATCAAATTATCAGATATCTTGGCTGTTTCAAATCTACTGCAATGTTTGGCACTGTACACACAAGGACAGTCACTGAGAGGAGTTGCAATTCATAAGGCTGGGTTAATGAAGGTTGCTTGAATCACTAACATAATGCATTAACACTAAACAAAGGGTGAGGTATTACTTTTCATACACTGGTAACCTATTATGATTAGCAAACAAGCTGTACGAGCTTCACCCATTCACGTAGCTATTTATTATGTTAAGGTTCTTTTCACCATTCAATTACCCGGCATCAAGAAAACAATGTGACACTACGGTAACAACAGGAATATTATTTTCTTCCACAATAACTGTAATTAGCAATTAGGATATTTACAGTTAGAATAAATTGCTAAGAGTTCTTTTTTAAAAACAAAGCTATTGAACTCATACCAACCATATATTTCTCTTTAGCTGCAGTATAACAGGCTCGATATAAAGATAAAAGGGGAAAGAAAATAGAGAAAAGGATGATAAAACATAATTTAATTTAACTATATCATGATTCTACCAAAAAGCCAAGTGTGCCAGCATCCTTTATCAGAGGCATCGTACCTAGGGATGAGGGCTGGGGTCCGGACCAATGACTTCTAGATGCATTCAACCTAAATGGTTTTAGGGTTCTGTAATATCAACTGCATCCAATTTTTACAGGTTTCCTTTTCAAACAGCAGTGACAGCTTTTTAAAATACCTCATAACTTCTACTATTATTGTATATAAAAATGTATTATTAGATTTCCCTCGCTTTGAAATGTTATAATCCCATTAGTCATTGTTTGTTTGCTTGTTTTAAATAGTTTCCTTTGACATCTTTCCCACATATGCTACAGGTATGTCATATGGATAATGCGGACGATAAAATATCACTGCTATAATGCAAACAATTTCTTAAAGTTAGGATTTTGCTTTGCATTTTCCAACTACACTGCTCAGAACAAGGCAGCAGTCTTCAACTACTCACCTGCATGAACAATCTGCCCTTAAGAGTAATCTCAGATGTTACTTTGTCAGTGCTTGAGGCAGTACGAAGAATCAATAACTAGCAAACATAATCTCTATGAAAAACTACCAAAAAATTAGTATTTCTACTCTAGAAAAGTTATTGTTCAATACACATCTTTTTTTTTTTAAAAAAAACTTGGCAGTTATCTAAAGCCACAGACACTGATGAAGAATCTGGCATTCTGTGTAGCTCAAAGTAAAAATACCCATTGTGTTGGCTGCCTCCTTTTCCTAAATACTACACAGTTTGGATCAGCAAATATTGGAGGCTAAGTTGCAACCGCATTTAGAAAGATAAACAGCTACAACTTTTGATACAGCAGTACTTCAACAATGTCCTATTAAATACAGTTCTATTAAATACATATATATATATATATATATATTGCAAAACAAATAAAAATCAGGAATATACATTTCAATTGCAGTTAGTTTACTAACGGCAGTTGGTAAACTGCAACTAAATTGTCCTAGTAAAGGACAGTTTAAGAACAACCATCTTTCCTACAACTGCCTTTTTTTTTTTCATTTTAACTGTAAACCCTTCAAAATAATGCTTCAGGAACTTAATCAATCGAGAAAAGTTACTTAACTGTATCTCTAACACACTGAAGGTACAAATCAGCCTTCAGCAATTCTTTCTGTCGATATAATATTCCTGTCAATATACTGCATACTTTTTTTTATTAAACAGAATAATGAGTTTTATTATCAGAATGACATTTTTCATTTTAAAAAATGTGTTTAAGTAATTTATTGACCAAGCTTACGAAGTTATTTATAGGTATTATAAATACACGCTTTATTTAAAGTGCATTAGCTTCTATAAATAACAGAAATTTAAATACCACTATTGATATAAACATAAAGTAATATATAAAAATCCATACTGAAAACAGATGATTTCTGAAGTAACAAATTAAACTGCTTTTAAAATGTTCTTATACAAACATTTTGCTACCTTATGTACAGAAGCATCCTTTTTTTATATTCATGTACATATTAAAAAATACATCTACATGTACATTGGTTTTACATACACCTATATTCCTAGTATAATATAAAAACAATGTTCTCGCACATTATGTAATATGAGTGATATTACATAAACATTGTTAAGAATATTCAACATCCTAAACAGGCAAGAAGAGTTTTTTCAAAATTCAGATTGTAAATACATGCAGGCCAACCGAAAATCTGCTATGGTAAGCACTGGCACAAGAAAAACTCACAATATGTATAATGAAAAGACAGAATTAATCTTTTCAAGCAGATTATCAAATATTAAGCTACATAAAATATTTTTTTTCTATTTCATCACTGACATGCTAGTGTCACAAATATATGGTTGGTTCTGCTTGGCAACATTTCGTTAATACTCTGTTCATTAATTTAACAAACTACCAAGAGAGTATGTTTAGAATGGGCCAGCATTATCTCTTGAATTTCATTTAATTAAACTCTGCTCTAGCAATATGACAGTCAGCATTTCATGAAGGGAATTATTTTAAGGATGAAGGTAGAAGATATTTCAAAGTGCCCTGCTAAAACATGAAAGCATAATCTAAAATTGCCTCTGCATAGACGGTAATTTATCTATAATATTAAAGATGTTATTTCCAGAGTTCATAATTAATTGGATTCCACAGAGAAATTATTCAGGCATTCCAGATAGCAAAATGATGCACAAAGGCACAAAACATAGTGCCGAAGGACAACTATAAACAACCACTGTGACTTGCCTGAATTACAACAATCATTGAGCTTAATATGAAATGAATACCAGCTGCCTTTTGTATGTGGTCATTACTCTGCTGCAAAGAAATTGCCACTGAATTTTGATTATATTGCCTTAATAAAAAGTAATGAAAGTGGCTCATGCTCTAGCAGCTTTCTTTTAAATGATATAGGACAGTGATCTTGCAAAGGCCAGCGTGCCACAAATTGATCGAGTGTGACATCTCTGAGGAAGGCTATGTTACTCCACCATTGTATCAGCAGTGATGTTGGCTAGACTTCTTGCAAACATTTTAACTAACCACTTTCAATGAAAGACCATTTAGAAATTAGGTCAGCTTTTAAGACTTACCATCGATCCGACTAACAAGTTCTTCCAACATTTTCACTTTCTTTTGAATTCCTGGCTGTGCAAATGTGTAATTATCCTAAAGAAGAAACCATATACAAGTTTATAAAAAATTAGAAATTATTTTACCCCAAGTACTTATTCCAACCCATTTATTTTTCTTATGTTTGCTTAAGGTGCTCATGATTTGTTTTTACATTTCCTAAGTGTCTCTACACTTCAGTAGTAAATCACCACACGCTACCAACCTATTTAAGAGTCCTTGTCTCTAACAGCACACCTTACTGCTGGTGGTATATCAACTGCTCACTACTTGCTAATCTAGTGCCCCTGAAGTTACATCTATATTGCGGAATTCTAAAGAGCTTTAAAAAGCTATCTTCTTAAATGCCAAAACTTGCCACTCTATCAATTTTTTAAGGCAATTTCTTTTTCCCCACCATAAATTTCCAATTTTATCACAAATAATGTAGAAAATATAAAAATTTAGATCCTTATCACTCACAGGATAAGAATTTCATCCTTAGAAGTTCAGAATAATGCCTTTCAGCAGTGGGAGAAATCAAAAATCTATTTCGATTGAATCATGACTGCTCTGAACCTAAGGTCAAACAAAAGCTCAAACAATGAATCAAAATCTAACGTGAACTATACAGCTAAAATGGCAGGGCATTTGGATGTATTTGTATCAAAGCATTAACTCTAACTTGATTTTTTGTTTGTTTATACATTTATATATTTATTTTTTATTTAAAGAACAGTAACTGATAGTTCCAGAAGTATTGTGCTCAAAGTACAGCAGTATGGTACTCAGTTACATAACATACAGCAGATCCTCTGTAAAAATAACTTCAGATATTTAACAGTGAAAGCCAATGCAGAGCTAGAACACCACCACTTCCATCATTCACCTCTTCCCTGTCTACGAATCTAACACTGTTCTCTTTCTCAAAGTATCACTTACTCCATATACATCTGGATATGCAAACCAAAACTGCCATCGTGGATTTTATAACTGTTAAGTTTGCTCTTCACATTTTTTGGATCAAATGATCATTTGAGCTATTCATTTGTTTTCCAACTCATTGTTTCAGATGCAAATGAACACAGCTGAGGGTCACTCTTCTACTTGTGCTCACTCGTCTATCTGGGAAGATCCTTGTTGGCTCCTCAAGACCTCTCTTCTAATTAAACTATGCTACAAATATTCCCTCTTGTGGTATCTATAACTTTCTGAAGTTTGTGAACCTGTGAAAGACGACTTTTGCAAATGGTTAAAAAAAAAAAAAGTTTTCTGTTATCTAAAATTCTTATTCCTTTTGAGCTTACTGGTAGAGGAAAAAGCAAGTAACAGAGTTAAAGAAAAACATGTCAAACTCATGGGAGTCATGGAATATTTCCCAGGGCAATATGAAAGTAGAGTGGTTGAGATTTAAATTCCTCTACCATGCAATTTAATTGGCGGTATCTGCTTCCAAATTTGGCATAACAGCTCTTCAAAAGACCCAAGTTGTTATATATAGCACCGACAACTCTTTTTAGGATACATTTCCAATACAGCTCTCTACTGGCTTCTGCAGAAAAACATGTTCCAGTATTCAGCTCTCCTACCTATTCCCCCTCACACCTGTGGGTTCTGCCTCATTACTCATCCTTCAAGTTTTTGTTACGTTTCCTCATTTATTCCTTGTGTAACTACTTGTCTATATTAAGCAGAAGGCAAGCTCTGAAAAAGTCACAAGGAACTGAAAACCAGATTGTTTTACCTCAACAGATCTTCAGCAAACAGCTGATGTAAAACACCTTATTTCTAACCATTATTCTTGACAACGTTAAGTATGCATTCACATATGTCAAAGTATGCACAAGAACACAACAAAACCAATGATAAATATAAAAAAAGTCATGCTTTGGTGTGCACTAAATTCCTCAATGCTCTGCTCTAATAGCTTCCAACATACTTTCAGTGAACTATGCTAACCTACTTCACAGCTGAATGGTTGTAATATCTAGTTCAGACTCCAACATATAATTAGTTTCACCTTACAATACAAAAGGTTAAGACTTTATAATGTCACAAGGGCTCAAAACTTGCTTCACTCTCAAATCTTTGTGTTAATCACCTGTACTTATTCTGCAGAGACTAATTTCTAATTGCCCTGCAACTACGACTAGGTCTGACAGGATTTTTTTTCCTCCAAAAATAATAATTAAAATTTAAAATAAAATATTTCAATTGCAGCCTTCACTAAACATGAAGACATGAACATACTAGATTAATTCTTACTTAAAAAAAAAAAAATAAAAGGTTAGAAAATTTTAAATGGAATAAACTTGTTTAGAACATGAAAATAGAGAAAATAAATGCACTTAATGGATGGAAATAAAGAAAAAAGGCACTGAACAAATTTAACTCTAACTGCCACCCCACACTCACAGAAAGAAAGGAGAAAGAGATCACGGAGTTTCTAAAAAACATGTTTAACCCCTGGGAATTAAATCCCACTCATTTTTCTCTCTCTGTTCTGAATGCAGACAATAAGATATAATTTAGCAAGCTGTTTACATTGAAAAGTAAGTCCTGAAGAAATGTTTTCTGTGGATACACTGAAAAAGGGATACTGAGTGAAACTAAGGATTGGTCCTACCTGCATTTTTAACATGCAGATTAAAATCACCAGATGTTGCAGTATCCACACCACACACCTCTTGCATTTTTAATTGCCTACAGTATAAGGCAGATTACTACAAATGTACATTCTAGAATTTTCAACCACGTATAGCAATGTGATGCTCTGATGCATATTGTAACAAATCTATTCCATTTCTAATTGCCATACAGAACCACAGTACTGACAGCTATCTGTTCAAAATATTACTCACTTATGGTATGCTAAAAAGAACACAGATGCGTTTCAAGTAGGCGTTAAGTAGTGTGCACTTCCAAAGCAAAGTTAACCAAGTTCAACATAGCTCAGTGTTATTTTAATTTTAAATCTCTTCAAATTACTACAGGTACTCCACAGCTTTAAGTTCATAATCAATCTGAAAAACCTTTCTTTCTGATTTCAATTATTTTAATTACACGTGGGAAAGGAATATAGACAGTATTGGTGAATGCCATCTGGTACATTACAAAAGCTGCTGTAGGCATACAGAGAAGGAAACAAAATACTATATATAAATATATGAACTCAAGTATGTTATTAATTAAATATAATGTATAAATATATACAAACATTATATATGTCCTTCAATATGTAATATTTAAACATATATATACACACATTATGTACTTGCACATATGCACACAAAAACATACCATGTTACTTTTCCTACTCAATGCTTTGGAAATATTCTCAAGTTTCAAAGAACAAAATTTCTTATCTACACATCATAAATTTTAAAAATAAATAAATAAATGAATAAAATGGTTTAAGAGAAACACTCTCGTTAATTTGCTTTGACTTTTTGTTAGCCTTGAAGTGGTCAAGCAGATGGACCACATGATCTTTGAAGGTCCCTTCCAATTGCACTATTCCATTCCATTCCCGAGGCAGAAAATGAAATGCATTTGCAACTCTCTAAGCTAAGAACCTCGGGAAAATGATGCCCTCTGGAGGTAACCTTATGCACTATGTAATATATACTGTAGCATGTACCTTTGCTACAGTTATCATTAACAGGAATACTCTCTATTTTGAAAATGCAGCTTTTATAAGACTTAACAAAGTCCACATCATTTGCTTTACAAAGACGATGACTGAATAATTTTAAGAGATGAGGAAAGCTGAAGAGGGAAAGCAAACAACCTCTTACATCATCATTAAAGAATGAAATCCAAACTGGAGAAAAAAAAAAACAACAAAAAACAACTGTCAATAAGTTGATAATAATGACTGCAGCCAAGCGCAAATATAGGCACAGTTTTCTCATCTTTTCAGGTCAGACAAGCTGTTTGCCAACGCAGATCTATAAAACCATCAGAACCATTTACAAAAGCAAAGTGAAAATCTTCATGTGTTGTTTGTTTGTTTTTAATAAAGTTTTATCATTTTGATCAGAGCTTTTAAATGCTTCTTGAACCTGGAAATTACATTGTAAATTCAATACACATAATTCAGGACAAAAAGAGTATGCACAGACGAGCAAACACACAAGTGGGCTGGAGCATAATGTCTGCACAGATTCCATAGCGTGTTCCACAATTACTTCAAAAGGCTCCCTGTAAAATATCTTTCATCCTTTGTAATTATTAAACCCAACTTCTGAAAACTTAATTTCCTACACATGAACTCTACAACGTGTTGCAGCCCTAGCTTCCTACCAGAAAAAATATCTTATTTTTCCTACATGAGATGATGGAAAATGCAATACCATATTAAAAGCAGGTAGTGATTCCCAGGCTGTGTTATAAAAGCGTCCATAGTTTCAGAATCAGAGGCCTAATCTTTTCACGGAATGGCTGAGGTTGGAAGGGACCTCTGGAGGCCATCTGGCCCTACCTGCTCAAGCAGGTAGCCCAGGACTTGCTTCTACTGGACTATGTAATCAAACCTCAATTTTACACAAGTGTTATAAACTACAGGGACTGTTAAAGTAGCAGTAAAAGAAGCGCTCAGAGTATATTTTTGGGTTCTGGTGTAGGCTAGACAATAATTCAAATGTGGATAAGAGCTAGAAATCATGAACATGGATGCTTACAATTCCAAAAGCTAATGCTGTAACTTTTTTGTAGCAGATTTTTATTCTAAAGCTTAGTGATAGCACAGGATATTTTGTATAAAACATAAAGAACAATGTGTTATACATAAGTATTCAGAAACAATTACATGCAGATTTGTTCTCTTTCTCAAAATAGTACTCAGTGACAGGCTAGGAAACTGCATTATTGGCTTCCAAAGAGAAAAAGGCTCTGTAAGAACTTCTGAAGAAAGCTGTCCTGAAAAAAACATTAGTCCTTGTGATAAATCCTACTGATGCCCTCCATTTCTCTTTCTCTAAGTCCTAACAGGCTTATTATAAGCCTAACATATTTGGCTACTGGGCCAGAAGATCCCCCCCACCTCATTTTAAGAG